TTCCCCTCATTCCCTTTACAAAGAAAGCAAAAAAAAAAAAAAATAAAGGGGGGGAATGATGTTTCCACTGAGCTGTGACACAGCTTTCTGCGTCTATAATAGAGGAGATATTATCAGAAAGGACAGGATAATTGCATTCAGAAGGCTGTCATATTTTAAAATATCTTAAAGCACACTTTGAACGATTTTTCACTGTGGTCATAACAATTGAAGCATAAAAAAACCAAAGATACATGATTTTGTACAAATATATAAAATTTCACTATTATGAAGGTTTTCACTGTAGCGAAGACATCATTTCTGTATCTGAAGAATAAATGCACTTAGCAAATTGCAGGTGTGGCTGACCTTAAGTCAACTGTTCCATAGCCCCTCCTTGAGAAGCATATTTCCCAGATGTCCTGAGAAAAGTCACAACAATCTTTTTGCCCATTTTCACCCAAAAGCACTTACTGGTACTCTGCAGTCTTATCCTCAGCAGACTGTGGCAACTATTTCTCCCACAGCCACAATATCCTACTTAGGCGTGTTTGACAAGGGTTTGCTAGGCTGAGGGGAATTTCAGCAACTTAAAAACTAGCTTCTCCAATTGCAACTGCAAAGGGAATTTTTAAGTAGCAAAATATAGTTTGTTCAGATCAGAATTTAGCTTGTACCAGGAAAAAAACCTTTTACAGTACAGATTTTATGATGCAAGTATCTTATTATGTCTTGCAAGGCAACTAAAAACTTGCATGGTGTAGTTTTAGTACCAGTTTGTAATACCTACTATTAAAAAACCTCAAAGTCCAAAGTACAGAAGTGGAAGAAGTAACCAATTAACTACTTGCATGCTGTACAGGTTCAAAATTGCAATTTTTTCCAGTAACCTGAATAGCAGAAGGGATATTACCAAGTTAATTCAGATATAACTATGAGTCTGGCAATGCCACCTTCTCTAGAGTGGTTTGTGAACATCACTGCTACATGTATGCAAGGTTCCCTTACTCTATAGATACCTACCAGCTCCACAATACCCATCAAAATTACAGTCTATGTGCATGTTCTCTCAAGCTGGTAACTGCAATTCACTATGGGTTTCAAGCCATAACCCTTTAACTTTTGTTACTGCAATGTTTATGCAATAAACATAAATAAATAAAACAGAATCCTGACCTTCACACCTACTTTTATCTTGACTTTAGGGTTCAGTACCAATTTAAGATCTGTTATGCAAGAAATAGGACAGGACAAACCTGTGCATCTTTCTATTCCTTCCATCCACAGTCTCTTTTCTGTCTGTCCAGCGAGACTTCTGGTACATATATTTGCTTTGTTCAAAGATCTCTCACATCAACATTAATTATGCTATGAAGGACAACAATGCAAATTATTTATGTATTTCAGTTTGCTTATTCTTACATTTGATTTGGCTTGAAGTTCATTACGTTACTGTCTCAAGTGTGACAGATCATCCCTGTGTGCTCCTTTCCAAGAGAGCAAACCCCATGAATTTCCCCGGGGTACAAAGAACTATTTGCTAGAAGCCACAGCATAAATGCTAAAACACAGGAAAATTCAGGTAGACATTTGCCCAGAGGGGAAGAAAATAAAGAGCTGGTTTTGCTTTGGAGTGCTGATATAAAAGACTTTCATATTGTCAGCACAGAAATGCCCGATGAATGATTTTGAACTTTTCAAATCTGGGCATAAAATTCAGAATATCCAGCTGATATTCCTGAAAGAACACCCTTTTTGAAACTAGTCAACAGAAAGAACCACAAAATCCAGCTAGAAATCTCCTTTAACACCCAAATAAAGAAGCTGTATAAAATCATCTCTCTTACTGACTTAAGAACAGAATAATAAGAAACCCCTTTGCATTTCAAGTGTCAAAATAATCAGCAGACTAACAAATCATTCTCTAAAAGCAGCCTACTTAGCTTAGGTATGAGAAACAACAGAAATACTTCAGTCTGGGGAGTCCCTGGAACTATTCTATATTCCGGTCCAGAGTACTTCTCCGTTCACTTGTATTTACAATATTAAACAGCTTAGCCTGCAGTAGCATTCAGAACATGTATCCATAATCCTGCTTGGATAATAACTGCATGGAAGCACAACCTACATCTACACTGACGGCCAGTAAGGTGGGGAGACATTCAATACACGGAAAAAGTCCTTGACCTGTTTAAGCCATTGTTCCTTTACATCAATTTAGAATTCATTAACTTAAATTAAGGATGTCAACAACTTTTTATTTTATCTATTGTTCTGGAGGTGGCCCCTGGAGGAGTGTCAGAAGGTGTCTCTGTCATTGATCTTTCCCATATAATTCTTCCAACAAACATTTTAACAGCATTAACATTTCCACATCCATGCATTCAACCTTCTGATAAACATTAGCTAAATCTCACCAAAGCAAAATACCTTCATAAACCCTTCCCCTCACACATACCTCCTTTCTTAATAACCTTGGTATTGCCCTTGAAAGTTAACTCTCCATTTCTCCCCATATTGCCCAACTAGCACTGTCTCCTAATACAGGTTTTCAGTTCAAGAACTAGCAAATTTTTTCCTCCTCTCCCTGCTAAACCCATTAACTTGGACAGCTGAACACCCTGGTGAGTGTCCTCATCCAATTCTCACCAGCTCAGCATTTGTTTCAGGATGAGCTGGGAACTTGTTTCAACTTCTTTATCTCCTTTCCATCTGCTTCGCAGAAGGAAGTCTCTCCCCTTTTCCCTTCACCAGTTTAATGCCTGACATTAGAAGCAAGATCCTCTTCAAATTAATGACATTATTTTACTGTTTTCTGCAAATTCTGAGTTCAGTTTCACTCATTCCTTTAGTACACAATTTAATGGGAGGCACAGCCTAGTTAATCTTTTGCAGAGGAACCTGCTTACAAAGAAGGGAGCAAACTTTACCAGAGTGTTATCATGAACTGGGTTTGCACTCCTCGAAAAAGTATGCAATGTCTCATGCAACAGAGCAGCCTGGGAGCTGAAGCAGCACCACTGTTCCTCATATTTTGCCTAGCTCTCTTTCTGTAGAGCTAAGCATGTCCTCCCTTGAAGGCCACTCCTCAAAGCTCCACTCATCCCCAATGACAAACACAACAGAGTATTTTTTACTCTTACAGTGCATCACTTTTTGTTTCCGATAGACCAAGCAGCAGAACAACCCCCTTCCTCCCTGCATACCAGTTTTCCCATTCACCAGAGGAAACCCTTCATCCCTCCCCAGCCAAACAACAGCTCTGGATGCTGGTTTCCAAGATTTTCTCCCACACACAGATTTACTCACTAGGGGTCATTGGTAAATCGAGGAAGTCGTGGCTGAGGGAAACCATAGAGATGACAGTAGAGTACATCAAAGCAGTAGCAGCACATCTCTGCTGTCACCACCAGGTTCTTGGTGCTGTTGGCAGTTCCATTGGGCCGAGTAAGTGGGCTCAGAGCTCCTGAAGTGGGATTCATTCGAGTAATTGGGGAATTTCCTGGGCCCAAAGTCAAGTCAGATACGTTCTCCCTTCCATTATTCCCATCTGTGTGCTGGTGGTTCTGAAGAGGACCTGAACTGGAGCCTGGTACAGTTGTGGCCTGATTCCCATGACTGTGTGTTCCGCTTCCAGATAGTTTGGGCTTCTTTACCCCACAACAGCCAGCTGCCAGCTTGGGCTCAAGTGGAGGAACACAGCGTCTTTTTCCCATCCTGCTTCAAAACTTGCTGCCTGGAGCACTGCAGAACCCTGGCGAGGAGGGAGGGGGAAAAAAAGCAATACACAAAACAGTTACAGGTGAAAAACCAACGGCTGCTTCCTTGCTTCTGCTAAGATATCAGAGAGGTTTGCTTCTGCAACAAAAAGAGGAAGAACACCCTCACAAGGTACAGCTAAGTACAGACCTAAAGCCCATTCAGCAAGTGGAATGGTTTTACATATAGATTGGAAGAGTGTGTACACAACATGCATGAAATCACACTTTTAAAGTCATTGCTGAGGTGTACCAAACACTTCAATAGGCGGCTCATCACAAAAAAAACCCCAAACCAAATAAATGAACATAACCACCCTTCCCTTTAATAAAGGGAATTAAACTGTTGGGAGAACAGAAGAAAAATGACAAAAGGACTTCAGACCACAGATAAACCCCATCCACTACTTTTCTAGATCACTGCCCCCGCCCCGAGTCAGCGCCTGCACCGATGGCAAACAAGCTACTGAACAACCACAAGTGCATTTCCCTTCCCTGTTCTCAATAGAAGAGTGACAACTCGAATGACACCTGCAGGGTTGGAGTCCCAGGGGTGCTGCCCTTGATTTAGCTCTAGCCTAAGCAAGACACAGAGAGCAGCTACAAGCACCGAACCACCATCTTCTAAACACCAGACTGCTTTCCAGACCCCGTGAACTAGTGAATCTGCATTTACTTTCTAGGATTAAGTAAATCAATAGTGCTCATAAGTGAACACGTACAGTCGGGATGTGCAGGAGAGGAAGAGCTGAAGACTGCGCACAGTCTGAACAGAGGCAAGTGATGATGGCAGGAAACAGATACAGTATTTAAAAAACCAACCAAACAAAACCCAGTGTTTTGCTTGCAAAGAAGATAATGCTAGCTCTTACATCACAAGAAGGGGTGGAACGAATACAGGGAGGAAAGCCTATGTAGACAAAAATGAACAACAATGATAGGCAAGTACACACGTCACTGGTAGGACCTTAAACAAGTGTAATATCATCACCATGAGATCTAAACACCCAAAGGGAGGAAAAACAGTCCCCCACCTGCCAAACGGGGCTAAAAGCACGGACATGTTAATCACAGAGCACACCGTGAACTGGAAGTCACACTCTGGCTCTTGCTGCTTCTTTAACCCCAGCACATCCCTCCAACTGTTCCAAGTACTTAACTGATGGCTGAACAGACAGCACATACACAGAACAGGGGTGGGTGACGCACACTGAAATCCATGGCATGACAACTCCCTCCCTTCTCTGCGCCCGCGGACAATGCAAACTTTATCCATCAAGTTTCATCAGCCATCGTTAAGAGTCCTACGATCCTGAACTGAACCAGAACTGGTGCAAGACACATTGAAGTGTGCCTCCCAACACAAAACATGTGCTTTCTCTGCTCCTCACCTTTCAGAAAGACAATCTCCGTAAGGAACAATTTACAAGACCTAGTGAAAATTATCATCTTTCCTTCGATCTCTGCCTTTGTAATAAAAAAATCAAAAGGTATAACTTTGACAAAGTGAAGATGTCATTTTTTTCAGTGCCTCTTGAAAGTTACCTTACTGCATCTCAGCGAAGCTGCTGGGACAGATGAGCCTTTTCAAGTTACCACTGAAGGCTTAGCCATATTCAGTGTGAAAAACTGTTTATTTAAAGCTGTAGCTCTTCATTTTACACCGGAGACGTGGCAGGGGGCAGAGGCGAGGTCTGCTCCATTTATCACCCCCTGCAGCAGGCAGAAGGGGCCTAACAACGGCGGCGGCACCGCTTCCTGGCCG